GTTTCTAATTTTCTTTTTGTAGTCTTATCTCTTGTCAAGAACTCACATTCAAATAAAAAAAAGTGACTAAAAGTACGCCTTCAATCTATCTTCGGTGTGTTGCAGCCATTGCAATATTTTTGTTTCACACGATCGGGGCCAGTGTATAGTGTGGTGTGTGTGTGTGTGTGTGTGTGTGTGTGTGTGTGTGTGTGTGTGTGTGTGTGTGTGTGTGTGTGGCGCGCGTGCGTGTAAGATGTTCATACTAAATTTGACTCAATGCAAGTTTTGTGAATCTAATTTCGTTGTTTTTTTGCTTTTTTTGATGGACAGCAGGAGGAGATGAAGGAGGAGGCGGAGGAGGAGGAGGAGGAGGAGGAGGAGGAGGACTTACAGTACACGAGATTGGCCATGTACGGAATAAAAAATATGTCAGTGGCTCGTAGAACTCCCATCTGACGCACTTTGTACTTCCTTGTCTATCTTGACATTAACCCTTTCGTTGCCAGGGGGTATGCGTTCCTACTGTCAGCACTGATTTTCAGCTGAGCTCGTTTCAGAGGACAGCAGCCTAATGTCTCAGTGTTAATGACACTAATATAGTGTAAAGCGCATAGAGCCTGCTGTTGAGCGGGGATATGCGCTATGCAAATGCTATCTATTATTATTATTATTATTAATGGTCGCGCAGTCTAGATCTAGGTCTAGCGCACTCGTGATATATTTCAGACACTGGATCTTCAGTCGTCACTTTTCTTATTCCCCATTTCCTCCTATCTTATTACTCATAATTTCGAATAATCTACAAATGTAAGTCAAAATATGAATCTATTTGAATTTTAAAAGTCATTTCGATGTGTTCTTTTTTTGAGAGCACGCGGCCGCCCCCAAGCCCAGATCTGTGTTTATTGATCAGTAAAGTAATTCTAGCAAATTTGGTACGTATACGCGCATCTTTCATTCCCAAATACAAATCTATGCTGGGCTTGAGGCTAAAACTCCGTACAAAAGAATTACAGCTAGGCCATTAGCATGACGTACATGTAACGTCATATAGGCATCCAGGAGCGGCACATTTTGCCAACTTCCGTGACGTACATGGTACGGCACAACGCTAAAAATTACACATTTTCATGACGTACCAGTACGTCATAAGGCAACGAAGGGGTTAAAATATGGCACTGTCTCTACTTTGTGAATTGCCAGTCATGCGAGGGTTTAGCCAGTCGCGCGTGGCTGAACGTCGCCATGCACACGCTTAAGGAGACAGTTTTGTCGCTTTTGTTGCATGTGACTGAAAATTTTTGGGGCGATGTGGTCACGCATAAGGATACACACCTCGCGACTTATCACTAGTGACTGTCGCGCACGACTAAATGTCGCGTTGCGCATAAGGAGACATAGGCTAAGCAGGAAAAACAGTCACATGAGTTTTAGTCAGTTGTACTGCAGGTTGAAGAACCAGCAGTCGGCTACCCCTGAGATCTAGCAGGGGAATGCAAAGAATAAGGAGACTCCATTTTATTAGAAAGGTTGGAAAAGACATTTGGAATAGCTGGTACTGTTCTTGAGTGGTTCAAGTCATACTATCTGGGCATTAAGTCTATTCTTGTGAATGGGAAAAAAGTCAGCTATACGTACAGCATTGCGGGGTACCTCAGAGTTCTGTGTTAGGACTGCTTTGTAATGTTCCATCATAAGAAGTGACAATAGTTCCTATCCCATGTATCTATACAACACCTTGTAGCTACGGTTATTGTCTTTTTGTGAATGTGTTCTTAGTCAGATTTCGAGTTGTGTTTGAAAGAATTGCTGAACATTGAATGGGCCAGTACGCATGAAACGTTGATTTAATTCTTATTTAATTGTGAAGCACCTGGAGCCACCAGGGGGGGCAATGGGTGCTATAGAAGTGATATTTATGATGATGATAATGATGATTATTATTATTATTTTTATGATTAGCCTATTATTATGTGAAGTGCTTCTCCTGGTAGCCATAATTTGTTTTCATTCCCAATGTCCAGGATTTTATGTGGATGCAGCCCAAACAGAGTCTGTTAGAAGTTACAGTGAGGAGAAGATGGCAGAAGTGATGAGAGCAGACATACTGGAGGGAACCGAGGGCATCAGGTGTGGCATTATTGGAGAGATCGGAACAGCTTGGCCTATCTCAGGTGAGTGCGTCTCTCTTGTTATTGGTCCAGGATGGGTGCTTGAAGATGAACTGAAAAAAAGATTGATGTTTATTAAAACTACTGTGGGAAGACTATGGCATGTTTTCATCAGCTGCTGCAACATAGTTAAATAAATAGCTTTACTCCTCTGCCCCGTAAGCCTTTTTTGACTCCTCTTTCTATCTTCTTGTCTGTCTCTGAAATGTGACGACCCTTGGTTCGAGTCCCGGGGGGGAAGTTGGGGGGGGGGGTTGTTGAATTTAGATTGTTTAGGTTTTTTTTGGAATTTCTTCATGCCCTTGGTTGTGTCCTGTTGAAAATGAATGTTAAATTTGAGGTTCCTTACCTCTTTACAATCTTTGCAATGTCTACAAAAAGGGAGGGCATTAAACCTGTACCAAAACACGACTGAGCTTGTACTTTTTTGTTCTTGTTTTGAAAGTATGACTATGATAAATGCTCTCTTTCAAAGCGTCTTGAAATTGAAATTTGCATTGTAAGTTAGTAAACCAGTATTAAAAAGTTATAGATCTGAGCGAACTGATGCGTTTTGTGTTTTTTCTACTGGCAGGATTGAACTCATCATATCTTGTTAGCATTTCTCTTTATTTTATTCAAAAAGTGTTACAGAATTTAAGAAGTAAATAAAATGCTTAGGGTTTTGTCTTAGAATTGGACTTGAGAAGAGATAAAATTATTAGAATGGATGCTTGCTGTTTGCTAATGGAAAACTGTACCCTCAACTACCAACAGACTTTGAGAGGCGCTCACTACGCAGCGGTGCTATTGTTCAACAAGAGCTTGGTTGCCCTGTCATCATCCACCCTGGCCGCGATCCCTGTGCTCCTACAGAAGCGATGCGTTATATTCTAGAGGTCGGTGGCAAGGCTGAGCACACTGTTATGTCCCACTTAGACCGTAAGTTGGCATATGTGTCATGACGTGGTGAAATCAGGTTCTTGTCAATTTTTGGGCAATTGGAGTTATTAGTATTGTCTTAAAGCCTGTTCGTTTGCCATGTTTTTTGGGAAAAAAATATCAATTGATCTTGAATAGAAGTCAAGATATTTGCGATTGAAGGAGGTTGGGGTCATCTGGTTTCAGGGGTAAAATTAACAAGAAAATGGGTGACTTCTATTGCTTAATTAATTAGAGTCCTGTCATGGATACTAAACATTTACATTTTTTTTGGTGCTTATAACTCTTGTCCTGTGTCTGTGCTGAGATGAAAATCTTATCAAGAAACTATTACGCCGGACTTTCCCGGTGGGCCGCTGGGGTCACTCAGCGTGTTCTGTTGGTTTACAGCGAGCGGCACTGGAAACGTGTTTGTTTTCACCGTGAATACCGTTGGAGTGTGTTAATCGATGATGAAAATAGCGCTCTATCTTTTATAGCTTTCTATTTATAAAGTGTTAAGAATACATGAATAACCCCCTCTCATAAGCTGATTTGACACTACGAGTAATTATGCCCATTCGAATAACCTTGTTAGACCCTGTTTTGTTACGAATGATCTGGGGTTTGAAAGGGAGTAATGTAGGTCAATTTCCGAATGTTTTTTTTTCAAATTGTTCTTTTTACCAGTACAAACTATCAAATAATTTTATTTTTATCAGGTAATATCATTTTATATAAAATCAAGCTCATTTGAAAGATTTTGTATAGAAATATGGAAGTCTTGTTTCCTGGCTATCCTTTCGAGCACCTCACAGCTAAGTGGGTACATTTTTTCTAATTTCATTGGACGAACATCTAGAGTTACCAACTTGGTGTGTTTTGAATGAAACTTATGCCTCGGTCACGCACCAACGCAGGCGGTTCTTGAAGTAGGCCACAAATGCACATAAACTTAAGCAGACTGATGCACCCACATATGAGCTGCGGGAATACGGGACCCGTTCATCACACAGATGATGCTCGGCGCACATGTGCTGAGCCAGGGCTGGACTGACTTGGGACTGGACGGAAGGCGAGGTGCCAGAATAGGCTTTTCGGGGAACATAAACCCGGCTCCTGCTGGACCAGGGTTAATCAAAAGTTTTTAATAAAATCCACAGAAAACTGTGTTTTTTAAATGGATATAAGAGGTGTTGAGCCAAAGACAAGAAAATTCGAAAAAAATTGCCCAATGGTCAGAAAATTGCCAGTTTATTTGATTTCATTATTTTGACGAGCACCTGATTTAACCACAATGCCTGACATATATAATTACTGCTAATAATAGTGATAACAAAAATTGATTGCACATGTTGTCCCACTTAAAGGGTAAATGAGTAATGTATACTTGTTTAGTTGCTGAAGATAGTACATTGCATTATAGCGTATGCATCCGTGTTCAAAAGTAGGCTCTGCTTTACAATTTAATATTACCATGGCAGACCCTATAATAATAATGTTCCGAAACAATCTCAGTTACCTGGAAGGCATTCAGTCTAAGCTGTCATTGTACATGCGCTCAAATGTTATAAAAGTCTTTCTATTGCCTTATCCGGGTACCCATTCTCACCTGAGTGAAGTGACGAAAACTTGTGTAAAACTAAAATGTCTTACTCAAGGACACTGTACAGGGCCCAGACAAGGATTGGAACCTGTGCTCTTGCGCTACCAGTTCTGCTGTCTAGTCAATGTACTTCACATTCTGTGTACTGTATTTGTTTTAGGAATGTTGAAATGAGACTTATGTTGATGAGAATAAAGCAAGTAGTTGTTTACTTTTACTTTACGATATTTTGGTTTGTTTTTGTGCCGAACGTGTTTGTTTCATGTTGCAGTAAGACAAGTTATATATGTTGTTGTTGTTGTTGTTATCGATCCAGCAACTGCTGGGCTCTCGCCCTTCTGTCCAATGCCATGTAGTGATAAGTGCAGGTCTGCTGCAGTTGCTGTAATGTTCCATAGAGTGTGTTGTCTATGTTAGGTCTCGGAGGGAGAAGGATAGCTCTGATTGTCATTTAGAGCTGTGCAGTGGAACAGGTGATGCTCCACAGTCTCATATGCATAGTCACACAAGGGACACATTGGGGGAAGTTCCGGGTTTATTCTGTTCAGGTGGAACAAGTTATATATAAAAAGACTTGTTATTGTTTTGATAAAATCAGTGATCATTATCTCTCTGTATGAAAAGTCAGTTCTTGTAAGAGAAGGTGGCCTTGGTTGTACAGGGTACAGCACCTGTTCCTGACAATAATTACAATAACTTTCATGAGTCAATTTGTCCTGTTCATGTCAGTTTTGTTTTTAGATCATATTATTATATTTGATTTGTCAGTGACATTTTCAGTTTTTCTTTCATTTTGTTCTAAAGTTTCAGCTTGTCAGTATAGATATGCAAGCAGAATGTTATTGAAGATCAGTATCCAATGCCCCATTCTGATTTTCTTACCTGTAGATGTCATGAACATAGACCATGATATTCAGTCTGAAAGTAGCACTGTTTTTTGTATCTTCTACAAAGGAACATTACTGGATAAAGAAACGCTCATGGAGTTTGCCAAGCTTGGAACCTACCTGGAGTATGACCTGTTTGGTATAGAAACCTCTCATTATCAGCTTCTCGAATCTATCGACATGCCCAGTGATGCACAGAGGGTCAAGGTCATAAAAGATTTGGTTGATGAAGGACTGGAGGATCGAGTTCTCATTGCTCATGATATTCATACAAAGCACAGACTTGTGAGTATAGTGACATCTTGATAGAAAATAGTTGTAGTAGTACTGGTACTGCTATTGATAGTCTACAGTGTGTATTTTTCAGGAGAAATAAAAAAAAAAGTCAAACGTGCGTTAACAACCACCTGTTCAAGACAATCACCTGTACAAATGATATATGAAAGGAAAAACCAGCAATGTCAGGTTTTTGCAGTTTCGAGATAATGGAAAAACAAACTTTCAAGACTTATGTCTTTTTCTGCTACAATGGCCTCTCCTCTGTTTACATTTACTTCAAGTATTTGTGTTGAAAATGAGAAATTTTCACAATCCTCGTGTTGTGGTCGTTTCGGTGAGAGCAAAATAGAAAAATTATGTATGGTAGCAAACTGACAGAGCTGGTTTTTTCCTTGTAAACTGTTTGCAAGGTCTCCATCTTCTAGATAGTCAATAAATTAAGAGTTTCTTTACTCATTTGTGAATACAAGCAAAACTAAAAGATTCAAATAAGAAAATTGAAAACCACTTTGTAATATTTTTACTATGTTTATTTTAATTTTATTTAATATTCATTTTTGGATGATGATTCTCAGTCATCAGACTCTTGTGTGGCCCTTTTTCCTCCTGCATGTGGCAATTTGGAGAAAAGTTGTCGGACCAGAACACCTTTAAGACCTTCATGTCTGCATGTTTGGCAGCTTTGATGGTCAGCAGGCTCTTATAGAGAGGTTTCAGGGGCTGGAGTCTTGCAGCGCGCTTCTTTTCCACTGGCTTTATAATGATTGCAGTGTGAAACGGACCATTCCAGCTCTCTCTATACTGCATTAGCTGTGGATGGGCCTTTGAGAGGAAGATTTCAAGCCGAGGTCGAGTGGGTATATGGCAGTAGACACGGTAGTGCTGTTTAAGGTTTTCTGACACATTCTGGAATACGGCTAAGTGTCATCCCCACTATCTGGAGCAGCAAGGGTTTCCAAAGGGCTGTCTCGAATTGCTCCACCCAACTGGCTGGCGTACCTACAGTGATCTTCTCATTCACAACTGCCATGTCACTGTTGCATTCCATGTTGCTGTGGCCTCTCACCGGAAATGAGATTTTCACTTGTTCGTACTTTTTCTGGTGGACAACAACATGACAGAGAAACCGGGTCACTGTCTAGTTCTTGTTCTGGCTTGCGCACCATTTACATTGCTAGCAGATTGTGAATAAAGTAATGTAGTATTATATAGCAACATGCTGGCCACATCGTCTCCACCCTCTTCGCCGACTGTCTGGTAACAGTACAGGTATACTGTTTCATCACTTAGTAGAGAGTAGATTTCAAAGGAGAAGAAAGATAGCTGCCAACGACTACAAATTGTTTGCCGAAATGTTTAGGCAGCCCAAGTTCTTTGAAAAATCAAAGGTTAGCGTAACATGGGTGCCGATGAATGATTTTCCAGCTTCCCAGCTCATTTAAGAACAGTGTCGGGGTTCGAGCCTCAGCTCAGTCCGATGTTGTGTCCTTGGGAAAGGCACTTTCCATGAATTTCCTATTTGGCTCGGTCCTTTCAAGGATGGATTTACACTCGGACGTCCCACCTCTTCAATAACCTAATAGTGTTGACAGGGGCGTTAAACCTATACCATTTCACTATTTTTAACTGAAATATGATCACTGATTGGTCACAGAGGGACACAACAAAAAACAAAAGAAAGTGTGCTTGACATCGCTGGCTTTTCCGTTGTGAAGATCCTGACAGTGACATCGCTGGTTCCTCTATTGTAGGCTATATTTTCAAACTCTCACAGAGACTGGCAGCGCTGATTTTTCCGTAACCTATGTGACTTTAGTGGACTAATGCAGATCCAGGCAGGAATAATGCTGGGACAATAACCCAGAAAATAAAAAAAACTGACATCGCTGGTTTTCCCCTTGTGTGTGTGTGTGTGTGTGTGTGTGTGTATATGTGTGTGTGTGTGTGTGTGTGTGTATGTTTGTGTGTGTGTGTGTGTGTGTGTGTGTGTGTGTGTGGAATCAGGTGCTCTGTAATTTTTGAACATGTGGAGTTAATGGTATCACTTTACAGCTTGTTCAATTGTCTTGCTTTTGGTGAAAAAAATACTCATCTTATATCTATCATGAGTAGAAGTCGAGATATTTGCGATTGATGGAGGTGGGGGTAGCCTGGTTTAAGAGGTAAAATTAAAGAGAAATTGGCCTCCAAAGTGTGGCGACTTCCAAAGCTTTAGAGTCCTTAGAAACTGCAAATTTACATTTTTGTATCTTAAATCAACATTTTTTTGTGAAATCCACTCAGAAATGTGTTTTTAAATTGACCTTAACAGGTGTTGAGTCAAAAATCAAAAATTCGATAAAAATTGCCGAACGGACAGAAAAATGCCTATTTTTCTATGATTTCATTATTTTGAAGAGCGCCTGATTTCACCACGATGCCTCACACACACACACACACATATATATATATATATATATATATATATATATATAATATATGTCACTGTCCAAGAGGACCACCCGTCTAAAATGGCCACTTTTCTCCTTGACATTGGGAGGTCATCTTGGACAGGTTTGACTGCATACGTCGCAATTATTTCCCACCTTTTGCATATACTTAATTTCAACAAGTATTGAAGTTAGGCTTACTGGAACAGGAAGAATTCATTAGGCCTATCTTGTTCCAGAACAAGGATGATTGACAAGTGACCTCGATTGTGCTTTTCTATGCTGTTGTTTTTTTTGTTTTGAAATATAAATAAATATATTGTATGCTTGGTTACTTCTTGTCAAATTTATAATAAATGTAAGTACATACCTACTTTCTGTGTGCTTCCTAATTAATTTTCCTCTAAAATTTCTGGGAAGAACGATTCCTTTTTGTTCTTGTGCTGTTTTATCATCTTGTTTTTTTTTCTTTTGCCATGTACAATTATAACCATTATTTTGTCACAGTACGTTGGTGTGCTCAAATGATCAAAGAAACAATTTTCTTCTTTTTCCTTAGATGAAGTATGGCGGCCACGGCTACTCCCATGTATTGATCAACATTGTACCCAAAATGCTGAATAGAGGGATAACCCAAGCGCAAATTGACAAATTTCTCATCGCGAACCCCAGGAGGTGGCTACAATTCACAAAATAAGTGCAGTTTCCTTTATTGTTTTTATGTTCAATGCATGTACAATTGAACCTGCAGCTACTCAAGATCACAGAGAAAAGTGACCGTTATAGACAGATGGACGCTATGGCAGGGCCTCAGGTATGGTCACCTACTGGAGTAGACAAAATCAACACGTCTTTTAACTCACTGAGCACCACGCCCCGATTTGCCTCCAAACCCCAGGGAACCACTCATTTCCCCTTTTTGAAAATTCATTAAAAATTTTAATTGAAGGCTATTTCTTTGAAATTTTCTGTGCTATTTAATAAGATATGGGTACAACAGACACAATAAACCCATTTTATGAAGAATGAATGACAAAAAAATGTATGGGACAGAAAGTTGGGACAAATTTGCCCCAGAAAAAACTTTTTGCAAAAAAAAAAAGGAAATGATGTGACAAAGCAGAAATCTAAAATAAACTTACTCAAAATGTTTTTGGCAGTGTGTGTTTGTGTGTAGGAGAATGAAGCATGATTGTGAACAGTGAAGTAGCATAAAAATGTAAGTGATAATTGATTTTGAAAAATTAAAAAAATATATATCTAGATAAAAATCGTCTGTGACAAACTGAGAAACATTTTCATTGTCAGTGCTGCTAGTGCTAGGACTAGATCTTTCATTAGATGTTCCAGGTCTGGGTACATATATCTTCTTCACTTTGAGGGCTGACTTGAACTAGTACTAGTACTGGGGCTAGATCTATAATCGTCCCCAGCCGGACAAGGCTACGTACTCCCTGATGTGTCAGATTCACGATTGAGAGACGATGTTGGTCTAGACCTAGATAGATCATCACTGCTAGGGGAATTCACATGTTGATTTATGAAGTTATCTATCTGATACTTCACTGTCACTTAAATCTTCGCGAAAATTATCAAGAGTTTCAATAAACTTCGACACACATCGCCGTGCCATGCTTTGACAAAAAACTGCGCGGAAGTTCCTTACTTTCAGCTGTTCAGTTCGTTGGACAAATAACCCGTTTATACACACTAAAAGTGGTGAATATACACAAACAACAAAGAACTAGCTTGTCGATATCATGTTTAAACAACTGGGGCTATTTGCAAGCATTTTTAAACTGCTGGGTTTACTTTATAGTCAATTACAGTTGAACCTGCATACGCTGCGGTCACGGTATTTTACCGGACCACATATGGTGCGAGAGTGGTGCTCAGTGAGTTAGAATCTCAATTCTTTATTTTATCTTTCCGTTCTGTTTTAATCAAAATATTATCTATTACAAGAGCTTGTTTGCATTGATTGAACGTACGCACTTTGTCTGAAGATCAGGTTGTGGGAAAATTTTTGTAGCAAGTGACTGCTATGAGCAGGTTTTGATGCTCACTTGTCATGAAATTGACTGACTGTGGCTATGTTGGATAACGATTGCTATGGAAAGGTTCAAAATATAGGAAAGAATGCGAGGCTGCCATGGAACTGGCCATTTGTACAGGTGATTTTTATGGCAGGTTCATCAGTAATTATGGGTTAACATGGAGTTATTTTAATTTGTAACCAGATCCTGGAGCCCTATCTGCCTCCATTTTACTACAGTCAAACCTCATATGGCATCCACCCAGCTGTAGAGAGAGGGAGCTGGAAGAGAAAGAGAGAGAGAAGGCTCTTAGCTTTAATGTTAGGTGCATGTATCATGTACACTTGAATCATTAACAAAAAGACACTTTTCAAACACAGATCCATACTGTAAAATCATGTCCGTTGAGGTTGGGCAGTCACGGCTATTTAACAGAGAAATCTCATTAAATAGTCAGTCCCACTATAGGGCCAACTTCATGCTCATCCCAAAGTGATGGTATAACGAGGTTTGACTGTAATTTGAAGAGAAAATGCCGAGTTTATGGTCTAGCAATGATGCAGGATTTTTTATTCCATGAACACCAACTTAATTTTGTGGGTATTTTTAAATAAAAAGGTTATTATAATCACTTTGTTCTTGCATTTGCATAAACAAGGATAATGTGCAGCTTTCTGAAATTTCTTTGGAGATCAAGAGAGAAGTAGAGTAGAGCAGAACTCTTGAGGCTGATAATGTTAGATATTAAAATCAGAAAATGGCAATACATATTTTCTTTATTTATGGATACTCATTACACAGAGTACATTACACAGTGTGCCTGTCAGTATTAAAACATTCCTTCTTTTACTCCTTACATATTACAATAATCAGGTGTGAGTTACCACTGGTTTTTTTGCTCTTTATTTTTTACTATTGTTCTGTTGTATCTGTTAATCTATCCTTTTTTTCTTTATGAGGTCTTTTTCACACCAATATATATGCAACACTTAAAAAAAGATGTATGTATTTTAAAAACGAAACGCTCAAATTAGGCGCGCTCATTACTGTTGTCATGCAGATGTGATTATGATTTGATAATGCGCCGATATTTCTCAGGGAATTCCAAAGCCTTGGTGAGTTCACATGATGAAAATTTTCATTAAGTTTGCCGGTTGGGTTTTGAAAATTTGCATGAGGGGCACAAACTCTTTGCAGAAAAGATAAATTAAGTTGTATCATACATGGACGCGATCACCTTTATTTTAAACCAAATGCATTGCAAATTTTATTTTCAGAATTCGATTTTCTGATTCATGTGCATGCCAGTAAGCAATGTCCTTGTTTTGATGTGAATTACCCGTTAGTCTTTGTTAATATAAGACTTCTCATGTGAACCTCTACAAAGCTTTACAGTACCACTTCTGATATTTTATGTTCAGAGTGAAGGCTGTGGATTCTACGCAATCATCAAAGGAATGATCTCATTGATTTGAAATGTCATCCTTGAATCATAGTCTAGATATGCTGTCGATTGTGTCTTCAGAAGCAAGGCTGCGGTTTTTACACACTTGTCAAAGGAATGATCTCATTAATTTGAAATGTGCCCCTTGAATTTGAATCTTATAGTTTAGTTTATATATGATTCAATGTTGGTAGTCAAGTGGGAAGAGCCCTGATCTAGACCTGACATATTGTACTTGGACGAAACACTATTTCCCAAATTTTCCTCACTTCACCAAGGTGGTAATGGGTTCTTGGCTAAGACTAGCATCTGCGTTTGTTGCCATTTTTTTGTCCAAAAGTTGCCACAAAAAGTGGCAAAAGTTGCCAAAAAAGTTGCCAAAAAAGTCGCCAATAATTTTCAACTCTCTGTGATGACGTATATATATATAACATTGTAGCAATATGTTGATAGAGGTAACAATCTAAAGCACCACAATTTCTTGTGCTCTGTTTTAAGCATCCAAAATATCATTTGTAGTCACCCACAGGGTAAAAAAGTGAAAAATAAAGATTTCACAATAGAATGAAATCAAAATTAGAACTGCACGGATAAATAACCACAAAAATTAACAAATAAGGGCACGTGTCCACCTATTCGAAGATTGGCTGTTTTAACCCTAAACGTGTGTAATTCAAGAAAAAGTAGGCCTACAGGATATTAGGCCTACGTGTAAATTATGGAATCACACACAATTGGGGCATGCCAGTGTCAATATTCGGTTTTGGTTGAGACACGCTCTAACATAACACATTTATATTTTTAAAAGGGAAGGAACAGCATTAAATTAAATGACTTTACGCTGTATAAACACACACAAAAAAAAGAAAAACAAATCATCAGAACAATTTTTAGAAAAATTAACATACCAACAATTAAAACAAATCAAAGAGGGAAAAATAAAAGTCAGACAGCAATATAAATAGTAGTATGTAATGTACTTATATAAATATTCTCCGCATAAAAATAGATACACATGGACATCTTAAAACTTATCGAAATACATGTCTAATATGTTATGAAGTAGCTTTGTTGTTTTGTCTTTTTTGAAAATTGCAAAAATCGCGGCCGCGATTCGCAGACCAAAATATGCCAAAAATCGCAGCCGCGATTTGCAGGGTGCTGCCGTGAAAACGCAGATGCTAGCTAAGACACTGAAAGGTCTCGTATATGGTTGGTGTTTGAGTTTGAGTTCCTGTAAAAGAGCAGTTTGAACTGAATGCTTCCCTGGAAACTGAGAATTTCGGAATATTAAAAGGTCCGTCAGAATAATCATAAATTGTGAAGCGCGCAAAGCCTCTTTTGGGTAAGGATGATGATATGCACAATAAATATATGCAATCTATTACTAATTTTTTATTTGGTTGTTAATGTAGTTAGTCATTTGAAGATTGTGGAATAAAGAATTATATTACAGATGTATTCCTTTGGTCCCAAAGAATTTATTGACAATCAAGATTTTATAACTTGTAGGCTATTATTTGTAATAATAAATATTTGTGTTCTCCTTGATCTTTTGCTTTTATGAAATAGCTAGATTCTAGGAGCAATTTGTTGATATTATTTGAAAGAAAACCATTCAAAGTATTATATGCTGATCGTGTGAGTCATGAGTATCTTGAGTCATTCCCCCCACCCCCCACCAGGGCAGTGCTAGTGCTGCAGACTGAAGTTGTCTTTAGGCCATTCTCAAACTCAAAGGGGGGATATTAACATGTTCTTATGCACAATAGAATTGTAAACAGGCTGATTTAACTATGTCATGCTCATACTGTGCTGAAACAACATAAGGGGAACTGCTGCTTTTTCTTTCCTCATCCTTACTATTACTATCGTCATTTTCCTCTACTTCTTTTGTATGTTTGTCACTCTCTTGTGAACTGCTTTATTCGGGGTGCCTTGATAGTCGAAGCAGACTTTGTGCTCGTTAAGGCTAAAGTTCTCTGTTGACATCCACCCCTTGGCGCTCATATGACCTTATGCAGTTGCAAGCGCCGTAATACTACTAATACCTTACTAAAACTAAACCCGAGTTATTTTACTAAAATTTCATTTTAAAGGTGCTATAGCCTTAGTAGGCTATTTGAGTTGGAGTCTATTGTTTTTCATAATGTAGGCCTACCCATTCTTTTACATGATGTAATCAAAATTGTCTTTTTGATGATTCATTTGCAAATATCCATAGTAGCTTGCATTTGAAAGCTGAGTCGCTATACATTGTGGTTTTGTAGGCCTACTTCTTTTTTTGCTTTTAAGATTTGCAAAATTTAAAAAATAATTTCTATTATTATGTTCATGTAGTTTAGAGTTTTTGTTATTGATCCATATATTATATCTTGGAGAATACACTGTGGCCATTTAAATCGCTTTATGATAACTTATATAAGGTGGATACTAAAGATTTTAATTTTTAAAGAAAAATAAACTCTTTATGAAATACTTTGCTGTTCTGTATTGTCTTGATTTCACAATGTCTGTCATGTAAAAAATTTGGAATGGTCGCAAATGCACTCTGGACAAGATTTTGATGTTTCCTCTTTCATTTTTGCCCTTCTACTCAATGTTTAGCAACTTTTGACTGTTGACCTTTAACTTTACGATTGCATATAGTATCATACAGTGGAACCTGCATAAACAAGAATCTGCAGGACCACCGGATAGCTGGATTTTTGGTTTACAACAGAGGTCGCTCAAATAGAAGAAGAAGGGAAAAAAACAACAGATTCTATTTTCTTTTAAGGCCCGGTTACACGTAACGATAAATTGTACAAAAACTGGACGATCTTGCGATCATACGATAAAATCGTTAGGTGTAATCACAAAATTGTAAAAGAAATTTGGATGTTTGAACGATGGTTTGGAGACTCGGTCGAGAAATCAAGTGCTGCTTGATATTTTCCGTGCGATCACGTTCAGATTTGAGGTAGACGCGCTGTGATATGTCACATAGATTCACTTTGAAATTTGCCGCCGCGCAGAATTAAACTCAGGACTCAAATTTGTAAAAATAATTACCGTACGTAAAAACTGATTTCATTCAGAATCAGTGTCTCAAAATAAGCAAAGCTGCTCTCGATGAACCTGATTTGGTACGTTATTATTTATATTTTAGCAATTTTATTATTTAGTTGATCGTCATTGCGAAGCTGTGCATCAAGGTCACTCGGTAGCGGTGCGTTGCACATCTGCAGTCGAGTCAAAGCTTCCGGTTCTACACTCAAC